CTGAAATCACTTAATATCTCTGATAGAATCTGATAAGATGTAGTGATTGACTTCACTATTGATCTATCTAAGAGTAAGAGTTATAGAAATATTCTGATTATTGTTAACTGACTAAGTAAGAATGTAATATTGAAATCTTGTGATAAGATGAATACTGAATAAGTTGCTGAAGCCTTCTTACAGAGTTCATTCTATCAGATGCATGAGTTGCTGAGATTAATAGTATCAGATCAGAGCTGTCAATTCATAAGTACTCTCTGAACAAGAATCTGTCAAGTTCTTAAGATTATATGCTGTCTGTTAACTGTCTATCACTCTGAGACTGATGATGTATCAGAACAGACAATTCAGATCATAAAGAATTATCTTTATAAGTTCTGTAATTACTTATAAGATGATTAACATGATCTTCTCCTACACACAGAGATTACTATCAATGATTGAAATGTCATTTCAATAGATATAAGTCTGTTCTTTCTTACACATGAATATCATATGAAAGTGTTGAATCTTCTAGAGATTACACAGTTCACACTGAACCTCTGCAGTTCAATTCAGATCACTGATAATATAGTAACAAAGCTCTGAGATATCTATGACTGAGCAGAAGTCTTCATAACAACTGTAAAATAAGATTAAGAAGATTAAATTAATATTCAATGAGATTCTGCAGAGCAGTATAAGATAGAAGATCTTGTATAATTGAATCTTAAGAATATACAAATCATATATTCATCTTATACACTAGACTACTGTTATATTAGATATAAAGTGATAGAAGTTCTAGATAGTCACAACTACTGTCTTAACATATTATCAGAAATTCATAATATATTTCACACAAGCTTACTTCACTGCACTGTCACTGATTCATTCTCTTCTCAGCTGACTTCTGACTGACAACTGCCAGATATCATAGAAGAAGATAATGAGCTTGAGTGAGAGATTGAAGATATTCTTGATGAGAGATTCTGTGACTGCAGCTGATAATATCTTGTGAAATAAGTCAGCTATAATTAACTGATCTGAACTCTGAGTTCTGTGTTATCTGAAACAGCAGCTCTTAACTGATGAAAACTGCTTCTGAAAAGAGAGAACTAATGTGATGAGCTGCACCTGATCAATTATATAGACTATTTCATTACACTTCATAGATTCTTTCATTCTCAATCACTGATCCGCAGCTGCTATGAATGTGTGCATATTCTTTCACTCTGAAGCTTCACCACATACATCATCACATACATGTATAAATATTCATCTCAATCACTAATTCTCGCACTTTCTCTTTCTTTTCTTCTTTAACATTTTTATCTTTGTTATATAAGACCTATTAATATTATACTGATCTATTCAGCGTAGACTTCTTACAATTATCTTAATTATCTGAATTTTACAGATATCTGAAAACTCATCTTTCATTAATAATAAAATTACAGAAATGTGTCACAGTATGAGAACTGTTAATAGAAAATCTAGACATATTTATATATATCTGATTAGAGATTATATAAGTAGAGAGAAGATAATTATAGATCTGCAGAGCTGTAGAAGATACTGATAACACTGAGAGCTTTATAAGAACTATTAGCTAGAGTCTGTAAGAAATTACTTATAAGAAGACTTACAGCAAAAAGTGAGACTATACTGCTTAAAGTCAGAGACTGATCTGAGAGAGATATAAAATTAACTACTAATCTGAAAATCAGATACAGTGACAGAGCTGAAACAGATGAAGATACTATTATAAACAGTGATATTTCTACCTTATCAGTCAGTAAAAAGCAATCAGAAGAGTTGTAGAAATACTTATAAAAAGCTCAGTGATAATCAGATATTATTTATAAGAATATTGAAATTAAAAAAATTTTTATTCTTGAGAAGTTCTTGAATTAATATATAGATATTATTAGAAATACTCTCTCTCTATCACCTGAATAAAAACACTTCACAGATGAATAAAGATACTCATAGTTTATAAGAATAAAAGCTGTTACAGAAAAAGAGAAAGAAAGATAAAGTTTTATAAACAGATCTAAGATATTTATACTACTCTAAAGAGATTTATTTACACTGTGAGTGATTCTATGAAACAGTCAGATCACTCTAGTAAATAAAGAGTAATTATAAATTACAGATCTGAATCTTTCTATATAACTATACAGAGTAATTATAGACTGTAAACATCTTGATTTTATAATTCTACAGAGTTAATAAAAGAATGAAAAATTTCTTATAATTCTACAGTATCAAAGAACAATGATTTATAAAAATAAATAAAAGATTAACTTATGAATACTTCTCTTTAATAGAAGTAATCTCATAGAGAGTGATTTATCTATAAGATAAATCTATATAATAATTATATAAGAATTTTACAAAAATAATTAAGAGTTAACTAAAACTCTTTTATATAAAAGATATAAGATATATCTATATAGTAGTTAGAGAAGAATTTATAAATTATAAAGAATCTTATGAAATAAGAAACTGAGTGATAGACTCTTTTCTCTTTATAATAATAAGAAATTTTTTCTCACTGAGATTTTTTTTATAAATATAAAGAATTTTTAGTGAGTATTACTACAGTACTGAGTTGATTCTATAAAATCACTCAGTAAAAGACTTCATGAATAAAGTCTTAGAGAGAAAAGAGTATATAAGAAATTCTGCTTCTTACAGATTCTTTATCTCTATTTCTATCTCTTATATAATTAATAGAGTTAGCAGCTCTTGACTATATATAACTATATAGACTGAAGTTTATAAATAATATTTATAACTCAGCTTAAATACTATTATATATTTAATCTCTATATTTTATCTTTCTACTGTGAATACTTCTAGTAGTTAATAGTACATATCATGCCAAGCTGTAAACACTCGAATAATCACCTGCGAGTACTTATTCTTACTTTAACAATGCATTCTTCAACAGGTGATTGAATATGAATGACATGTCTATTACTGCAATGACTTGATATTAATAGTAGTAAATAACTGAGGGTTTAAGGCTGCAGTGTTCAATGTATGTCTTTGATCACATATTCAAGATTATCAGATAATGATTGTAGTTCAGAATTTAATTTACTGTTCTCTATCTGACACAGAGCTTATCTAGTTTGATTTTCTATTGTATATGCATCTTTTTTATTTCTCTTTGAAAAGTTTAATAAGTTAGTTAAATCAAAAGTAAAACAATTCAACTCAGTACATGAGTATTCAAGAACTTCTCAGCTTATGATGACTGTCACTGTCATTTTAATACAAAATGAGAAGAGATTTTTCTACTCATTAAGAGATGATGTTGACTAATTCATGTCAAGATATGTTGGTGATTACTACACCTACTCTAGTCACGTGCCACCTTAACCTATTTATTTAGTGTAACTCGCGTAGTTAGATTACAACATAATAACATTATTCTTCAAGAGATTATGAAGCTCTTCACAAGCAATGAATAACTGTAATAACATGCAATTGACATCTTCATGTGTTGTTACAAGTGTGTCTAGATAATTTATTAAGTGATTAAACTCATGATTAATCTAAGATTCAGGGGAATGCCTGACTTAACAAAAGAATACATGTCTTCAAGATGAAGAAATGAGAAAATGTCAGAGCAGTAAATGCAAGATCACAGATCACTGCTAATATTAATAATGAATCAGAAGACAGCTTCTGAGATGTTTGAGCTGAATGACATGATTGTAGAAGAACAGTCTGATAAGTTCAATAATAAATATAAAGACCTGATTGAAGATATTAGTAAGATATCAGACAATGTAGAGAGCTTAAGTAGCTAGAATAACAATAGCTCTGTGAGTGAGAAGACTCACATGAGATTAGAAATTGCAAGACTTCAGCATGAAGTCAAGCAAATGAAGATAGACAGGGATAAAAATGAAGAGCTTGGTACAGATTTAATGAACTATCTTCAATGAAAGAGTAGAACATCTGCATTGATGAAGATTCTTAATAAATTCAGAGATTAAGTAAGATTTATAAAGAAGCCTGTTATACTCACTAACTCTGTAAATTATTCTATATGAAAAGAAGAGATTCTGCTCACAGCAAGACAATCTGAAATGAATGATATTCTTAATGATAAGTAGATTAATTCTGACAAGAATGTTAGTATGAATATACAATGTTTTTAATTAGAACAGAATATCTGATTATACAACTATATATAGTCTGCAATCATCTCACAGATCAAATCTCACTTTATTATACTCAAGAAGTCTCAACTATCTGCTTATTCTCTATGATCTGTCATAGAGAATAATTTCACTGAGAGATCTGCTGTTCACAGAACTCATCTGTTTCAAGAATTGATTGAGATGATATTAAAATCAAAGAATTCTGATTATATATTTATTAAACATTTAATTACAATCAGGACTGATTATATCTGATTGAAATATAATATCAAAGATTTCATGTTTTTTGACAGACTTCTTACAGAGGTTAGTAAAGATTGATTGTCTTTTATAAAGAATTAAATGAATGTAATAGAGAAGGATGAGAATGCTAGAACATTTAAAAATGATTTCATGAAATTGTGTTGAGATATTCTTCTACAATTGCCAGCTACTGATAAATCTCTCATCTTCAATGAAAAGACCCCTGCAAATAACACCTAAGACAAGGATAAGAAAGGCAAGGACAAAGACAATGATAAGAATAAGAACACTGAATCCAAACCTGAATGTAGAGGTAATGACATGAGAACATGCTATCATTGTCAAAAAGTTAGTCATATTCAGGCCAACTGTTGGAAGAAATACTCTGAGAAACATTCTTCAAACTTCAATACAAATAGGAACAAGAATAAAGACAAGAATGTGAAGAATACAGATGCTGCTCCTGTTCACAATGTCATGAAGCAAGTATTTTGCATCAAGGAAAAGGCCTATACAAGTGACCAGACAGAAAAAGATATCTGAATTCTAGACTCTGAATCAGGTGCTTATATCACATCTCACAGAGATCTTGTCATGGCAAAACCTCAGAAGATGAAAGTGATGTTGAAAATGGCAGATGAAACAGTGATCTCTGCTACAGCTATAGAAGATATGAAGATTCTAGTGAAAGGAATAAATATGCTGTTAAATGATGTCTGCTATGTTCTGAAGTTAGAAGTGAACCTCATGAGTATGAGTAAGCTTGTATGTCAGAGTTATACCTATAAGCAGTTGATATATGAGAATAATCATACTATGTTGATTATATCTCCTGACTGCATATTCTCATTTACAGCAAGATTAAATGAGAATGATATCTATGAGATGAAAAGACCAGTTATATACAGAGACTTGATCTGAACTTATGATGATGCAATGACATTAAAGGCTAGAACATCTAAATTCTGCAGATATTGTAAAAATGACAGCAGACTCATGTCTAGAGATGAGAATTATTGATCAACAAGCTTTATCATTCTGCAAAGTCTGTGTCCAGGCAAAAATGACACATTCAATCTTCATATCTATGACATGAGCTGTCAAGCCGGCAATGAGATTCTTCATCAATCTGGCAGGGGGTGGAAAAACACTTTTCAATGGGAATGACACCCCCACTAGGAGGGGTGCAAGTTATTGATTGAGTATAACAGACAATGCAACCTGTTATATGACACTGGGTTGATGAATGATGGAAAAGCGAAAATATGCTCGCACCTATAAGTTGACAATAAGGGAGCAATCAATCTAGCAAAGGGGGAATCCTTAACATGAAGGTCGCGCCACATTGAGATTAGATATCATATTCTCTGTGATTTGGTTGAAAAAGGGGAAATCATGATGGAACATGTTGATTCTACAGTGAACATAGCTGACAGGCTCACCAAGCCACTGACGAAGCCTGCATTTGAAGATTTTGTCAAAAGAATTGATTTGAAAGAGATCAGAAAGGAATGATTGAATGATAATAATAATACAGTGAATCAGTGGATTTTGCATGTATTTCTTGATTTTTATGATTATTACTGTACGGACGCCTTTCCTAATAAGGAAATCAGGGTCCGATTGATGTAATTAATTATTATTGCATTTTTGAAAGATTTGAGGATGGGGGAGGCCCCGGGTGGCGGCTTATAGGCCACGGTGTAGCAAGGGGGGGTGTTGGTGATTACTACACCTACCCTAGTCACGTGCCACCCCAACCTATTCATTTAGTGTAACTCGCGTAGTTAGATTACAACACAACAACGTTATCCTCCAAGAAGGTGCTTATGTGAGCTGGTACAGTTACCCAGAAATAGGTTAGTTGACATAGGTCAGTTTGACCTGTGCCGAATAACCTGTACATATTATAAACATAGAGTAGTGGTTGCAGGTCCTTCGGTGATCTATGACTTTTGACCAAAGTACCCTGTAGGTGCAAACCTTAGCAGGTTCTGTGGCAGGCAAACCAGTACACTTCTTAACCTATGCCGGCTGTTACATGATTGATGCTGTTTTCTCTCCCTCCAGGGCCACTCCATGGCTGCCGTCAATCCAGTCCCCGATCACCAAGCCAGTCACCTGTCTGAGAGAGAGGTGACACTTTTTGGTGAGCTCTTTTTCTTTGGCAAAGTGAATTTTTCCTGGATCTTTATACCCCGTGGATTTAAAAGCTAACTTTTGAAGGTCAACTTATAATAGTTAACTTTTCAAGAAACACGCCTGGGTAACGTCCACAAGGGCCTGACGCCCACAGGGGAGTAGCGCCCGCAAGGCCGATGCACCACCAAAGGCCTGACGGGGAATTGATGCCTACCCCTCGGCTATTATTTTGTGGTGCGCATCCGGGCGTATAGGGATGACGGGCGTAAAGGAAAGGCAAGAATAGGTGAAATTCTGTTTGTTGGTAAATTACACTAAGCTCTTTTTGGAAAGTAAATCTACTCTGTCTTACAATTTATAATTTTGATGGCTGAATAGAATATTATCTTAAATTCGCTATGGGAAGAAAGTTGCTCGGGATTAAGTTGTTTTTTACAGCAATATTAACGTGCGGTCCAGAATGGTTCTTCATTGCCCATCCTCTCTTTTTCTCTCGCTAATAGATGCCTGATAAATGGATCAAGGAAATCAAGAAATACATTTACTTCGCACGCATTCAAAACAATTGGTGACTTACCGTTGTGATCAATGCTACAATTAAACTATGTGGGTCCGTATCAACCACGCCGGATCGCCGGTTTGTTGTAAATTACAATGCTTTCGATCGCGGGGCCGAAAAAGCGGGCATCTTCCACAGGATGTTCATTGGAAATATCCGAGGAGGCCCTGCGCCAAGAGGACATTATCAAAGTTTGTCCTGGTTTTTTTGCGAAGAGCATTTTGTATTTCCAAACAGTACGGGTATTCTGTTGATTACATTTCAGGTGAGTCGACAATTTTTCATGGATCAAGAAGGAATACATTTAGACGTCTTCGCACGCATTCGGAACTAGTGGAGACTTACCGCCGTGATCGCTACAATTTGATTGAATCAAACTACGTGGGTCTGTACCAACCACGCCAGATCGCCGGTTCGCCGGATCGCCGGATCACCAAATTCGTTTGTATTCGGCCAAGTTCCTGAGAAAACACTTCCAGAAGGCTTGTGTGAATAAAATGATTTTCTTATGATGCTGTGTGACTCAGATAGCTCGGCTTGAGATATTTCTAAATACATGAAGTTACTTGATTCGAGTGAAAGTTCTTAATCCCCTATGTTTCACAAAGGCATTCTCTTGTATTACTATCTGAGATATGAAGGCCTTGTCAGATGCTAGAACACATGAATTTTTTAACAGCCTTTACATATTGTGAGGTTTGGCCATTAAAGAGTATTAATTTAGAAAGCCTCTTCTGTGACAACAACCCTCTCGAGAGAATCCTCTTGTGAGGAAATTGCTCCTGGAAGTAATTGCCGAGCAGACCAACGCAAACCAACCAAATCACGGCTTGGCGCCCTTCTATAAGAGACTTATTCTGATATTTTCTAGTGAGTAAACATCTTCATGGTGTGGCTGTGGCCTCCGTGACTGTTAAGAAAGCCAGGTTGGAGATGAAGACAGCAGTGTCAATGAGCTGCGGAAGCATCACTTTCATTGCCACATCTTCTCCTGCTTCTCTTGCAGCTATGATGATAGTTGTCATTCCTTGCAGTGAGATGTCATCCCTTCTGCCAGTCAGTTCTGGCGTGAAGGGGACGGGCTTTTGGTGCGATCGACTTTGCGTGCTCCCTGTCACTCGAGCCAATGCTGATGTCTGGAAGTCACTCTACCTATGATGTCATCCACGGCCCACCTTTTGACAGGTAAAGCTTAGCAAAGCCCGGCGCTGATATGACTGGCAAGGCGTGGTGGGCTTGCATTTCTGCGCTCGTGCGAAAAGGCAGTTTTGCAGTTTTGTAATTTTGCATTTTCACCTTTTGGCGTTTTGTGCGATTTGGTCAGCATACATGATTTGACTATTCTGTGGTGTTTATGGCTTCCATCGATCGAGGTAGGAAGACAGTGAGAGATGACTCCATAGCACGCCAAGCAGTCCAAAAACTGTGCCCGTCGTTTGATTGATTGATTGATTGATTGATTGATTGGATCAGCTACCCTGACCTCTCCCTCATCGGGATATGCAGGCTACCACTATTACAGCTACTCTCATCTATCCTTTCTAGTCTAACTACATGCACGATCTTAATGCCTCGCCAGGGCCTGTGGCTGATCTACTCTAGTTGTCTCTGCCTTGGAATCTTTCCGAGCTCTCAGCGAAGTCTAGGATCGCATCGAGGTCTCCCCTACTGATTTTCCATTCCGTCCCATTTATTGTCCAGTTTGGTGGTTTACCCCCTAGCATCAGGGAGATATTGTTGAACATGTCCCCAATCTTTTGTCGCAGAACCCGACGTTGTTGCTGCAGTCTCAGGCAGTCTACTAGGACGTGATGGACCGATTCTTTTGCTCCACATTCACATTTGTTGTCGTCAGCGTATTTTATTCGGTTTCGGAAGTCATTCAGCCATGAGTGGCCCGTTCTGAGTTGCGCCAGGAGTCTTGCTCGAGGCCTTGGAAGGGTGGCATATAGACGGCGGGTATGTCGGCCCGGGAGGGCTGCGTCTATCTTCCGCAGGTGAGTCCCCTTTGCCGTTGAGGACCATTCATCTCTCCACTCCTGTGTGGTGCTGTTGCGGCTGGCTTCCCTAAGGTGTGAGGCAGGCTTTGGGAAACCATGCGTTGGGTTTGGGTTGATTGACTGCTTGGCGAGCTGGTCGGCCATTTCATTTCCCTTGATTCCACTGTGTCCTGGTACCCACTGGAGGCAGAGGTCTACGCCTATGGATCTCAGCTCTTTTGTTGTGTGCAGAATGTTCTGGATTATCTGTCCTCTGACTTGTTTTGAGGCGTTTGCGATGGCTCGAAGAGCGGTACGGGAGTCGCTGAGGATGGTGTATGTGTGTTGTTGGTGGGGGGTCGGTGTCTCCTCACTTGAGTGAGATCTCCATACCAGGTAGAGTCCATGGTATATCGCTAGCAGCTCAGCCGTTGTGACAGTCCAGTGCTTTTCTCGCCCAACACCAACTTGTATGCCATACTGGATGTGGTATGATTCGTCCATGATCAGCGCCGCTGCTCCAAGCGCCGAGTTCTCCTTTGCGGCATCGGTGAAGACTGCCTTGGCTGGGTTCTCCATTATTTTCGTAGCTCTCTCGATGGCTCTGGCCCTGTCGGAGTCGAGGTAGATGCCTTTGAGTACTGGCTTCTGCCATGGTTCCGGGGGGCATGGATCGAACTGTGCCCGTCGCGGTCCGGACCAGGAGGACGCCAAGGCGTGATTTGGTTACCCATTTTATTGGGGGTAGGAGCGCGCCAAGCCATGCTCTTACCAAGCTATGTCTCCCGATAATGACACACCACCGTGGTGACGAAAGGAGGAAACGGAAGAAAGAAATTCAATTGTTAAGTTCTCACTTTAGAAGATCTTGGGTCATTTAAAAAGGCCGGAGGCTGACTCTACCAGCGGTGGTAGCAGGCATTCAGCACCAGTCCCTCTCTGATTGCTCGGTCTGCATGTTCCTTGATGATGAGTTCAACCAACAGAGAGGAGGTCGGTTTCTTCGCCCCAGTCCTTGTCAGCCATCCCACATATGTGACCTTCGCCCCGGGGTGTATAGTCACATTCTCTGTTTGAATCTTCTCAATGGGCTGCATCTGTTGGCTGGGATTTATATTCTCTTTATGCGTGCGGACTGAGTGAACCAGGACCCCAGATCTATTTGATAGACACCAGTGTATGGTATTTATGCATCTTGAGAGCAAGAGGGGAACCAGAGAACAATGAGATGCAAGTACAGCTCGCGCTACAGGAATGACTCCGGATTTATTTCAGTTCCTGCTGTGGTGAAAGAGCAGGTGCTGTGGATTTCCTGAAATGGGTCCATTCTTTGGGCGCGAGCCAATTGTTATTGCAGTCCTTTTTGCGCACCGTTTGCGCCGCTCTCCTGGAAACATTGCCCTCCCTGGGGACACTCCTCTCCCTGGGGACACTCTTTTCCCTGGGGACATGATCATAAGCAGTACAGGCAAGATCGGCCTCCGTGCGTATCTTCACGACATCAATAAGGTCGACACTGATAAATGCCAATGCGGCTACGGACCGCAGACCGTGCGACACATCCTCCTTGAGTATCAGAATTGGGTAGAAGAACAACATTGAATGTGGGTAAGCAAGTCTCCATGCGTGAACATCAAGCGCATTCTCTGTAGCTCGTTAATGGCGGTACAAGCAGCAAAGATGATGATCAGGACAGGCCTCCTGGGTCAATTCCAGGCAGTCCTGTCCAAGGGACAACTAGCATACAAGTGTAAAACCAGTAGACAGAAGTTGAGGAGGGTCAGGAAAGACCTAACAAGGCAGAGATACAGAACAGATAGAGAGAGTATGGATAGAGAAAGCTCAGGTGAAAATGAAGTGATTCTTGCAGAAATAACCGGACTACCAACTGAAAGTTTTCAGCAAGAATAAGTGAATTTCCAAGGAAAAGAGCAGAAACTCCTGTATGTATAGTAGTGCATTGCATAGCTGCCTAAGAGTTGAAACCTCAAACTGGCATACAAGTGTATATATTTCTATATCTATCTATGAGGATAGAAACTACTACTTATAACTGTTTCAATCAATAACTTTCCTTGAGGGCTGGTAGCCTAGCTGGCAGCCTAACAAGGCAACATCAGCTTAGTCATACATATATGTCACGTGATGGGAACTCAACTCTAAGGGCGGCTGGGACAGTCTATGAATAAATCAATAAATCAATCAATCAATCAATCAATCGATCATCCTGGGCCGGCAATCTTCCCCGGGTCAGCAATCTCCCTAGACCAGAAGTATGCCCCGGGCCGGTGGTTTCCCATCAAATAAGAATACAATTCCTGACCATCCTGGGCGGCAATCTTCCCTGGGTCAGTGATCTTCCTGGGTCAGCAATCTCCCTAGACCAGAAGTATGCCCCGGGCCGGTAGTGTCCATCAAATAAGAATGCAGAATTATACCCAGGGCCAGCAGTTTCCCCGGGTCCTGCTATTTCCAGAGTCAAGAGTCTTCCCTGGGTCAACAATTTCCCTAGACCAGAAATATGCCCTGGGCCGGTGGTTTCTCATTAAATAAGAATACAATTCCTGGCCATCCTGGGCCGGCAATCTTCCCCGGGTCAGTGATTGTTCCTGGGCCAGTAATCTTCCCTAGACCAGCAGTTGTTCATCAAATAAGAATGCAATTCCTGGCCATCCTGGGCCGGCAACCTTCCCGGGTCAGTGATTTTTCCTGGCCAGCAACCTCTCTGAGTCAGCAAGTCTTCTTCTTTCAGCAGTTTTGCAGATGATGAGCATCTATAGTAATATACATCATGTAATACAGTTGTTGGGACAGTCAGGGTTTTCAAGTGCCTTGCCGGCTCTCGTCGTTCTATAAACTGAAAGAACTTAGTGTAGGGCTTGTTGTATCTTGTTCTTCAAAATTGCTTCATATGACCTGGGGAGTCTGGCTACTTCTCACTGTTTAACCTACAAGTATACCAGTGGTGGTAAGAATCAATTTCTTTTGAATTTTGTATTGCGATCAGGATAAAAATACTCCATTGCTTTACAATTCCCAAAGGTTATCCAAAGAAGATGCCAAAACTTGTGCTTGATGACCCAGATGCCTGAAGAGTGGGTCATATGGGCAGGAACCGGAGCGGAAAAATTATTTCCGGCAGACGTCGTTCTCGGCCTCTTAACTCGCGACCAAATGCGGACGAAGCCGACAGTTTTCCATTCCGCTTTCTTCACGCAGAGCCTACCACAACCTCTTTATCGATTTTATCAATCATGGCTTTGCATCGGCATCAGTCATCTTTAGAAAAGGTATTGGACTTCTCGCAACCGTTCTCACTAACTCCTCAACAACATCAAGCGGCAACAACCCTTTTCAGATACCTGATCCAGCATTATGGCTTGGAGCAGACTATACAGCCTGGTTACAAACCTGCAGCACTTATCCAGGCCACATTTGAGCATGTTACTTCTAAAGATGCATTCCTCTTGTTCTTTTTCTCACACATCTATGAAAACCTATGCTCAGGAGTAGCAAATCCAATTGACTCTGACATTACCGTTGCCTTGTCCTTCTTCGATGGTTTCTCTAGCTGGGATCAGAATCAAAAGCAGAATGCCGATGGCGCCATTGAAAGCTTTGCTGAGTACATTGTTGAGAACTTCCTTCTTCCACGTATGCTATCAATATACACTTCCCCACCGCCAGAATCATATGTTAATACGGATAATTTAGTCAGAGCTTCCTCTGTGAAGACCCCGCAACCAACGCCAAGGTCATTGTCCTTGATACAGGCATCCACACCTACTGGAACGACACAACGTGTATCTATTCTACGACAAAGTTGTCTCATGCGTGATCATCACCGGTGTGTGGTTTCTCAGAAGTTCGATAAAAGTGAAGCCGGCAGGCGGTGGAAGCAGGACAGGGAAGATTGCAAGGATGATGATGGAAATCCATTGAAAAATGAATCAAGCGACCGATTTCAATATCTGGAGGTTGCCCACATTCTGCCACATTGTCTAACTACAGTTTCTTCCCAGGACACTGATCTGGTATGTCTGCAGTGAATGTACCTCGTGTCTCTGACTAGAATAACTGACGCAAGGCCCTAGAGCGACTCGAAGAAGAATGTACTCCGGATTTTAAATATGTTTGACTCTGGCATTATTCATCTCATTGATGGCCCGAAGATCGACAGCCCGTTGAATGCTCTTACCTTGACACATGATCACCATCGGTCGTTCGGTGAATTCCAGATATATTTTGAACCAACGAGCAAACCGTATGAGTACAGAATCAATTCAATGGAGCAAAGCCCTTTTCTACGTGATCCGCTATTCCCTGTTACTCGCACACTCACCCTTAGTCCCAATTGTACCATTGATCCACCATCAGCTCGGCTCCTTGGTGTCCATCGAGCCATTGCAAAGATTATGAAACTTAGTGGCGCAGGCGAATATATAGACACGATCCTCCGAGACTTGGAGGAGGTTGATGATGTGAGGGCGGATGGCTCAACAAACTTGGGGCACATGATGAGTTTACGACTTGGTGGCTGGGTGAACCCTTTGCCTGTATTTTAATATTGTATATAATTTTTTAGGCCATTCTTTTATAGGCAATCAATGTATCTCTCCGACAGCTAAGACCCCAAAGAAGGACATCTTCCACGTCCAAGAAGTCAATGGGCCACACTACAAGGCCGAGTCACGTGGCGAGGCTGGCCATTTTAGCAGGGGTTGCTCTCAGAGGCACGAGTGCGCTAAGTCTGATTTGTTGCCAAGGAGCAGGGGCTTTGGGGCATTTGACAAAGCTGAGGTGCTGTGTAAGCGCTCTATTGCCTAACTTAGTTTAACCATGGGCTGGGGTGTTAGGTGACTGTTGGACAACTTTTACTAATTGCCCTACTGTATTGAATTACAGAGGATGCGTTTGACTTGCCTGCCCACATTCGATGTCGTTCTTCTGCCCAGTTCCGGCATTCCAGGAGGATGTGTCGCACGGTCTGCGGTCCGTAACCGCACTGGCATTTGTTGGTGTCGGCCTTATTGATGGCGTGGAGTAAGCACGGAGGCCGATCTTGCCTGTTTGCCCCTGCGTGATCGCTGCACTAATCGCTCTGTGTGTTCCCATGTGTGTCGAGAATCGCTTTTCCGGGTCGAGCCCCAAGTCGGAAGAGATCTCTGTCATGTTTTGCCTGTTCCCGGGACGCTTCCCATTCGCCCTTCATCGCCTGACGGATGGTGGATTTTGTGGTTGCCAGTAGCGTTCGTATCGGATCCGGTTCGGGTTGGGTTAACGGGCGACGTTGGTTGACGGTCGGTAGGCGTTAGTTTCTGGAAGGTTCCTTAACTATGACATCATTCAAGGGTGATTGAGGTGATCTACAGGAAGAGGATATGCAGGGGAGCTTAGCGCCTTGTCAAGCGTCGAGGTGCGTGAACGTCCTCGAGGGACGGGAGGAGGTCGGCTCCATGCTGCTTCAGGTGGCAATGTTGCTTCAATACCAGTGCTACCGTTCACTTCAAGAACACTGTCCAAGAAACTCCATCGTTACCTCTTCCCTCAAGCAGATCTTCGCAGAGGACTGGGACCGGATGGATGCAAGCACACGAGCGACGCATCGATCCAAACTTCATCGGCAGCTTGAGCGGGGAAGAAGGTGGTCGATCGTGACAAAGAGGTTGTCATTCGGGGTCCTTATCCTTGGCGGAAAGAAGCTATCCACACAGGTGTTAGTTCCCAGAACCGATTCTGTTCCGCCTATTATACTGATATTTCCCATCTCTAGACACGATCGCAACTTGAATATAGAGAAGCTTGAGTTGATGCTCTCTCACATTGTGGATTGCTTGCTATCCGGTAGCTGTTGACATCTATCGGATGGCCGATCCGATCGTGAAGGGCATCCTGAGTGAGGGCATCGTACCCGCCGAGTTGGATCACATCAAGATCGCAGAGGAAATTGAGAAATTTGAAGGGGAAAACCAACGAGCCCCACGATCCCTCTCACCGTCGGTCGCCAGTTTGATCAATCTTTCATATGAAAGTGAATACAACGAAATTCAATTCAAACCAAGGAAGAGGTGCCGGGGAAGCCATGTAGGGTTACAGAAGGCATTTTGATACAGTGCAGGGTGATTACAAGAATGACTAGCCCTCCAAACAATCAAAGTGGTTTATTGATCTACAGTTTCATTAGGTGTTTTGAATAGTGTACTGTTCCTTTGTTTGTCACCAAGTAAATAGCAGAATGTGAAGACCGAATCTCCAGGTTGAAATATCAATGTTTTTAGTGGTTACTCACCAGCTTGGTAGCCGCCCATGTGGTCCATCGGCCTTGTGGGCGCTGCTCCCTTGGGGGCGCCATTCCCATGTGGTGTGTTGAGTATCACGGTGGTTGAAACACGTGTAAGGGATCTGAAACTTGTACATCTGTATGTATATATATTGGGGATCCCACCTCTGCTGGGTAGAACAATAACAATAAAAATGAGAACGACTACTATCACTTGCTTCAACATGGTGCATCGGCCTTGGGGTCGCTACTCCCTTGGGGGCGCCATGCTCCATTGTGAGTGCTAATTGAATATAGTGAATATGGTTACTTCTAAGGTAGCTTTTCACTCTTGTGCTGGCATTTTCCCATAAGGCACATTTGCAACAAGAAGCTTCTAGAGTTTTGTTGTGGATGGGTGATAGTGATCATGCATTCAAGTGTTCTCTAGCTATGATTTATATGCTGGTAGTTTTAATCATTCAAGATAATGGAACCAAATCTGCGTTCGTGGATATCAGGGCAAATATAGAAGTATAGATATGAAAGTTCAAGTTCAAAAACCCAGGAATCCAGAAATAGTAGCCACTGATAGCCCAAAATAGCAGCAGGATGAACCCACACCTTTGTCCTCCCCGGTTCACATGACAATCAACAGACCAGGGAGACAGGTTCCGCCATTGGAGCAGTATAGGTTTCTTGAAATCAGGTCTAGAACAGTAAGGTCCCAGTGAAGATTGTGAGTTGAGTAGGGGGTTTTCATCACTTGACAGCCCCGCGCTAAATTCAGCCAATCACGTGTGTCATTGCTGGGACGCCAAGACGTGGCCTGTGGTGGGAAAATGGCTTGGCGTGCTCCTGCTTCAATCGATGGAAGCCATAAACGCCGCAGCATACACGCAAGGACCATTGAATCATGTATGCTGACCAAATCGCCTGCTGGCTTGCGTACGAAACGCCAAAATGTAAAAATGTAAAATTGCAAAACTGCAAAAATTGCTTTTTCACAGGAGTGAAGAAATGCAAGTCCACCAACACGCCAAGAAAAAACTGAGCACCTTGTCAAGTCATGTCAGCACTGGGTCTTGCTAAGCTTTAACCGTCAAATGGTGGATGTAAGTGTTTTCTCAGGAACTAGGCTGAATACAAATGAATTGGCGATCCGGCGATCCAGTGTGGTTGGTACAGACTCACATAGTTTAATTCAATCAAATTGTAGTGATCAGGGCGGTAAGTCTCCAATAAGATATTTCACCTATTCACACTTATTCTCTCATTTCCCTTGCTTCGCCACTTTCCCCTCTTGACTTCTGATATTTTGTGTAGCTCTTGCACGTTGTTTGGGATGGAGGGGGGTCTCCTGTTTCTGTAAGAGCTATGTCTTTCCAGGGTTGTACCGGACATGGCACTCACTCTATATTTGTCTGGTTGTGGAAAGTTGCTGCTCGAAGCATCAGACTTTGGGAAGAGATCTCAATTTATAGCTACGAGCGAATGTTGTCTAGAAATAAGGTGGGCTCCATTGAGTCAAAAAACGTCACTTTTTAAAATATCCAGCAAATTCAACTTTGAAACCAAACTCTAGCCAAACTCAATCTTGAGCCACTAGTCAACAATTCTCGGGCGTATAGGTCGACGGGCGTAGGGATGACGAGCGTAATGTACGCATATGCCTCATATATTCCCTGTCCTGATAAAATCTTGGATCCCTATACATCACCTGGGGGGTTTTGAAGCTCTTCGAGAACACGAGCAAGGCGCCAGTCGTAGGACAGGAGAGGCCCAGCTCCCCCCTCTACAAAACCCACCCAAGAGACGTGATCGCACGGCGACATATCCTTTTCTGGCCTCCCTCTAGGACGTCGTCACCAGAGGGCGGTGGTAATGGATTTTATACCTGTTCCTATGTTGGACACCCGAAGGATGCGTGACCAGGCCACGGCAGTAGGTTTTGAGCTGTAGAGCAAGGCAATCATATCCACATTGAAGTTTTTGACAACCCTGCGCCAGTCTGCAAATCCTCCCTCATATCATCGTCACTGGGGAGTTTCAGACTATATCTGGGGACTTTCAATTATTCTTCATGGGAACTTGACATCCGGAAATTTGTACCCTCAAACACTATGACCTTGCCAATGAGTTCAATTCTTGCGTTTAACTGGCGAGGCGCAGCTTCTCCAAATATATTTCAAGAACAGTCTATTGTCACCACACAGACGGTTCCTTGTTTCTTTATTAAACACGAAAGCTTTGAACCGGGGAAGCGCCATACATCATTTGTAAAGCACGATTTCTTTCAAAAAATAAAAATAAAAGTCCGTCATTCAACCCATAATGTCCTAGAGAATAAGGGATACTTTCCCTAGGAATGGCATTTGGCATGACCAGGCCATGATGCTTTAGAGAATAGGGGATATTTCCCCTAGAAATGGCATTTGGCATGACCAGGCCATGGCATTCTAGAGAATAGGGGATATTTCCCCCAGGAATGACATTCAACATGACCAGGCCATGGTATGCTAGAGAATAGGGGATATTATTCTAGAGATTGTTGCATATTTTATCATGACCATACCATTTAATTTTCCCAAGAATGGAACAGGCTATGGAAAATTTGCTTGTGTTTTCATGATATCTCTCACATGTTGTGTCATTGCTCATTATTTTTTTTGTTCATTTTTTATCTTCTTAATGGTCTCTATTACCACAGTGAGCAGTCATAAAAGTTCATTCCCTGGTTTGACTTGTTTTGGCAATTGAGCAATTAACAAGAAACTTCAACAACAAACGAAAATGGAAAAAATATAGCCAAAAAGAGGAAAAAAGATGTTTAGATAAGTTTTTAAAAACTGCCTTGTCCTATCTCATGGGGAGAAAAGTGTCTAGATGTTTCTCACTAGTATCAGAGCTGTAGAAAAAATTCCCTGAGTATATTCTCTATAGACACTGCTCGGCGTTCAAGATCACTTAGTTTCCGGATGGTTTCTTCTGTGTATGATGTCTGTGGTCGGTAATTCAACCGACGGATGTCTCCGGGGGCCGTCAATCCGGATGCATCGAACAGTCCCGGCAGGAGGTTATTTTCGACCCACACACGGTTATGATAATGCTCCACGGCCCCTTTACTGTACCAATACACACCATCTTCGTTGGTGAATGTTAACATTAGATATTGCTGAAGTACAGTACCGCCGGCCCTTGCTTGCTTTCTATGGACACATCGACCTGCAATGTGTATCTGACTCTTCGACTTGCTTCTTAGAAGATCTATGCTTGCCTCCTCAAATTGAAAAGGCGCCATTCCACGCTCTTCCATTCTCCTTGTATAGCCTATGATTACTGCTTCCCCGCCCAAAAGATGAGCCGGAACTAGTTTGTAATCAAAGAATCCTCCACGGGGCGCAGGAGATTTTAAAAGAACCTGGTATCCTGATCCATATTTTCTGTAGCCTGCAATTTCCACTTCATCTGCAGTACCATTATCAGTCCCCCATTCCTCACGTGGATATGAGGCAGGCAGTGGATTCGTCGGGGTTGTTCTATTCGCGCGGTCACTCCTTGAAACTGGGTTATATTGTTGTTCATAAGAGCGCTGGAGGGTCGACATAAGATGATTCCCACTGTGGTACGTTTTAACATATGATATCATGTGAGAGATGACTCGCCATCGGTCAACATCTGAGGTGGCCCGCTGAAACATGCGTCGATGCGGCAACCAGAAGTTGGGATGGAAGTGATTTCCATTCTGTAGGGCTCGATTGGCATTCTGTAAATGAATCTTTACAGTATCATCATCCGGTTCACGATCAATGGCGTAGTAAACGCCTAGGTAGAAATCTTGATTGTCCCGAAACTGCTGAGTCTGTCCTGTGTGTCGAGATAGCGGAAGAAGCTGTAAAGTTGTGATGGCTCCATTCTCTCCTCGATGGTGGGGTAATGGCGGAGGTCATCGAGCCATCCATCTAGATCAAAGGTCGAGTCGTGTTCGATTTCTTCCAGCCGCTGCAACTCCCGTTCAAATAGGTACCATAGTTCGGGATGGATATGATATAGTTCACTCAGGAGGTGATCTCGTTCTCCATTTGATGCTATGGCGGGCACCAGCTTATAGGTGAGGTCCACCATATCGGAACGGTCGTGGTAATGGCGAATATATCTGACCATATGCGAGTGAACGAGCCGCCGTTGACTAGCCGTTGTGGCTCTCAAGTACATTCTTTGGTGGGGCAACCAAAAGCAAGGGTTGAAGCCGGAGCCGGCAAAGTAGCTTGCGAATAGTGGAAGATACGTCATTCGATCGTCTGAGCCTGAGGCCTGATCCATGAAGGATGACAGATTTTTGAAGACATCAGCATCCTGACTATCATCCTTCCGTTGTATGTGAGGCAATATACGAATATTGGTGGCTGACTCTATACGCTGGCGAAAATTTTCTCTCTCTGAAAACTCTTCGTTGCGCAGTTGCTGAACCCATTCATCAAATACTTCCCCACGTAAATATCTCCGAAGTAGATATCTCCTAAGAGAGGCTAGTTCTTGGCTAATTAAAACAAAGAGATCTGAATGAATCTGAAATAGCTCGGAAAGAAGTAGCTGAATTGTATGTTTTCCGTCTCATCCTCCGGAGAAAAATCCGACCACCAGGCCGCCGTTACCTGCGGAGGGGCGGGCAGACGCCATTCTCCATATGTCGAGATAGGACGCCTGCAATAGGGGCATCCGTTCGGCAAAGCTCCGTCGGTAATGCACTGTTCGCATACCTTATGGTAGCAAGGTAGGAGAATCATCTCTTTCTGCAGGTCACAAATTTCGCAGATTTGCGCTTCCCGGCGCTCAAAGCCCCTGAGCTGTTCACGGCATTCTGGGCATCCATTGTCAAGAGTAGGACAGCAAAGCCGTGATCCCACCAAAAGCCTGTGCCCTTCGCGGTCCGGACCAGACGGGTGTCAAGCCGTGATTTGGTTGGTTTGCGTGGCCTGATGTGACCATGTTTAAAATATCTTAATGCACACGAGCCTCTGTGTACAAAGACATTGCAGAGCTAAGCTCAAAACAGAAGACTCTGCAGGATTGATTTTACAGCTTATTAATAGAAGAGATAGAACTGTAACTATAGTGAAAGCATGCCTGTAAAGTGAAATAAGATTGACTTGAGAATGAGTTGAATGATAATACAGATAATTGATGAAAGACTGAAGAGAGATCTGCAGAACTGAGAGATGAATTAATTATCAAAGATAATGACTGCAGCTGTTTTCTCAATTGAGTTAAGAATAAAGTTAATAAGAGATGTTCTCTATAATATCTGATAATACAGTGAGCTCTTTGAATAATAGTTTTCTTTTTATAAACTACTGTTAATGAAGATACATCAGAACTATGAATCTCACAGTGATAAAACTTAATCTCAGATAATATATCTGTTTCAATAGACTGTTCACAGGCTTAAAAGACTACTGTTAATTGCATGAAATGTTGATATATCTAGAATAACAGAGAGAGTTCAGACTTATTTATCATAGAATCTGTAACTGTAGAAGAAACTGATTTTACTATATATATTTATTTACAGTTCTACACAGTGTAAAGAGATAATCAGTGATAGAAAAGATGTAATGAGAGAAGATTACAATACCTGAGTTCTCTGAGTGTGACATTGAAGATAGACAGCTGTAGAAGTAGTAGAACACTGTAAAGAAATGAATTAATCAAGAGACTGGTTTTGCAAGCAGTGAACACAGGCTTTTGACACATTATTCATTCTTGAGAATCTATGAGAGATGATTGATCAGATGTGTTATCTATTCAAGAATCTGTACAGAGTAGATGATATATAGTGCAATGTCATGAAATTGTGCTTCACTTAATTCTACACCAATCAGTGGGCTGTATTCGCGCCAAGAACCCCAAAAAGGAAATTCTCCACTTTTAATGACCAGGGTTTTCATCATATATTTGCTTCGCTTCGCTCCGCAAACAAAGACAGGAGCACGCCAAGCCATTTTCCCACCACAGGCCACGTCTTGGCGTCCCAGCAATGACACATGTGATTGGCTGAATTTAGCGCGGGGCTGTCAAGTGATGAAAACCCTCTACCCAACTCACAATCTTCGCTGGGACCTTACCGTCCTAGACCTGATTTCGAGAAACCTATACTGCTTCAATGGCGGAACCTGTCTCCCTTGCTTCCGGTATCATCACCCTGGCAGGGTTTGCTTTCAACTCGAGCAAATCACTGTATCAGGCGGTCGAAAGCTTTCGCAGTACCAAATGAACGGTGAGGGAGCTGAAGGAGGAGCTTGAGTCTCTTGATGGGGTTTTGCAATCCCTTCAACAGGCGGTCGTGGCCTATGGGGATGAACTAGCTGGGCTCAATCTCCCACTGCTTCGCTGCGGCAAAGCTTGCAGGGAATTTGAAGATGTGATTAACAAATGCGTGACGCATTCGGCGGGTTCTAAGACCAGCTTTCGAGATTGGGCAAAGTTGACATACATGGGAGAAGACATAGGCTGATTTAGATTGATGCTGACAGAATACAAATCTACAATTAATATTGCACTCAGGGATGCGACTTTGTATGTCTTCCTAAGGTGTATCTTTTCAATCAAGCTGACAATATGGCTTATAGCCGCAGAACAACTGTTACTGCTACTGTCCTCAATGAGTATAGAGATATGATAACAAACACAACCTCTGATCTTGAAGATCATCTCCAGGATGTTGAAAACAAACTTGACTCATTCATTCCAAAGGGAACCAAGATGGAGCGCGAAGATAGCATGCAGTGAAGCTGAATACAAGAGAAAAGAAATAGTACTCAACAGTGCCTCTGAATCTGCACGGACACCCTTGAGCACATAGACAAACTCCAACCCAAAATTTTGACTGAAACCCCCACAGCTTCCATCCCACTCTTGGAGATTGATGCAATTGGCAACTTCAATTCTGACTCATTCAAATATGTCATCAACTGCATCCTGCAGGAGTACAGACAGAAACTCTTGACCATGTCTTCAGATCTTGAGAAACATGTCAAAAGACTAAAGGCCAGACTGGAAGCAATGTCGCAGGCAGTCAAGATGGAGAAAACAGCTGAGTGAGAGCAATTCCAGGAAGAAAGAAATAGTCTCAGACAGTGTCTGGCCATTTGTGCTGAGGCTTCTGAGCAAACAAAGCAGATGCACTTCAATGAATTTGAAGATGTTCTCTCAGCTGATGATGCTCATCAAGTCATTGTCTCAACACTGGGAGAGCTTATCTCAGTGAAGCGTATCACAACCGGATCTAGGTCAGCTCAGTGGCTGGGGCAAATGTCAGATGAAACTCCTCAGCAGCTTCCAGGGATCGCAGCCGTGTGTCTGAAGGCCCTGTGAGAACTGAGATAGGGCCAGACAATAAGTTTGACCAGTATGGGCGGGGGCATCAGCTGCGAGGAAAAAATTCTACAGTTCGCTTGGACTCTCCCGCCCAGCCTTTATAAATTTTACGGGCCTCCAGATAGATTAGATTAAATTGGTATATCTATGTGTATATGCTCTTGACACCATCTTCTGAAACCAAAAATGATGTTTTCCACCTTATGGGAACTCGGGAGATGCACCGTTGGCTATTGTTCAGACAAATGGGATTATTTACATGGCCCATAATATCCGTCTATCTTGTGGGGTTCTAGGTAACTGGAGGGCGATTTCTAAGTTGTAAAACGGTTTAGTCATTTGTACGTATGAAGCCGAAGCAGAAAATATTCGCTGACCTCTCGCAGCACTATGAGAAATGTCAACTATAAGATCGCGCCTGCAAAGTCAGGCAATGCTTCCGTTGCTACAATTACGGCCACATCGGCACTCAATGCAACGCAGCCCAGACACGTGGCTATTTTACGGAACTAATGCAAGCAGAAGAATACCAAAATAATTCGGTATCTTATAGGTTTAAAATGTCGTTCGAGAGAGTCAACATCAAGACACGACCTGTGGAACAGGCAATTGCCACTCTCGTTGCTGCAGACATAATAAAGAGAGATGATTTGACTGGCCGACACTCCGAGGGCAGCCACAGAAGATTTTCTCCACGAACGTTTATCCAGTTACGGTCATGGTTAAAACCATAACCTACTGGCTGCGGTAAAGGAGCTGATTTATCAAATGGGGCCGAGTGAGGGACAGCGGAATCCAGATCAAATACGCCAATATCAGTATAGAGATGATGCTGATTCCCCTTACCAAATCGAAGACGACCAGAAGACTGGACGTCAAGGATTGATATGCACTGCTCGTTGGCTGGATCCCATATCCTGACTTTGGCATTTCGAGACCCCGATGCGAGCCGGCTTCCATCCAGTGACCAGACAATCGAATTGACTGAATTGTTATGCTCTTCAAGAGTTGATATGCACTCCCTAGTGCCCAGGTCCCAGATTTTGACTGTGTTATCACCCAACCCCGATGTGAGTTGGCTTCCATCCAGTGACCAGACAATCGATGTGACTGAATTGCTATGCCCCTTGAGAGTCAATGTGCACTGCCTAGTGGCCAGGTCCCAGATCCTGAGTATTCTATCACTTGACCCCGATGTGAGCCGGTTTCCATCCAGTGACCATGCAATTGATGAGACCAAATTGCTATGCACCTCAAGAGTCAACACACACTGCCTGGTGGCCGGGTCTCAAATTTTGACTGTGCTATCACCTGACCCCGATGCAAGCTGGCTTTCATCCACTGACCAGGTAATTGATCAGACTCATTCACTATGCCCTGCAAGAGTCAATATACATTGCCTGGTAGCTGAATCCCAAATTTTGACTGTACTATCATGCAACCCCGATGCAAGTCAGCTTTCATCCAGTGATCAAGAAATTGACCAGATTGTATTGCTATGCATCTCAAGCATCGACATATAGTGCCCAGTCGCTGAATCTCAAATTTTGACTGTTTTATCATGCGATCCTGATGCGAGCTGGCTTCCATCTGACGACCAGGCAATCGACATGACTAGATTGCTATGCTTCTCAAGAGTTGACACACACTGCTCAGTGACTGGGTCCCAGATCCTGACTGTTCTGTCAAGTAACCCTGATGTGAGTTGGCTTTCATCCGGCGACCAGGCGATCAATGTGAGTGAATTTCTATGCCTCTCAAGAGTCAATGTGCACTGCCTAGTAGCCGGGTTTCAGATTCTGACTCTTTCATCACTTGACTCTGATGCAAGCTGGCTTTCATCTGATGACCAGACAATTGACATAATTAGATTACTATACCCCTCAAGGGTTGACATGCACTGCTCAGTGACTGAGTCTCAGATCCTGACTATTCTGTCAAGTGACTCTGATGTGAGTCAGCTTCCATCTGATGATCAGGCAATTGACCAGCTTGATTTACTATACTTCTTGAGAGTTGATATGCACTGCCCAGTAGCTGAATCCCAAATTTTGACTGTGCTATCACCTGACCCTGACACAAGTTGGCTCCTGTCTGGTGACTAGACAATTGACATGACTGAATCATTATGTCTCTCAAGAGTTGATGTGCACTGCCTGGTAGCTGGATCCCAAATCTTGACTGTGCTATCACCTGACCCCAACGCGAGTTGGCTTCCATCCAGTGACCAGGCAATTGAATCAACTGAATTGCTATGCTCCTCAAGAGTCAACGTGCACTGCCTGATAGCTGGATCCCAAATTTTGACTGTGCCATCACCCAACCCCGATGCAAGCCGGCTTCCATCCAGTGACCAGGCAACTGACGAGACCCAACTGCTATGCCCCTCAAGGGTTTGAAGGCATTGATTCCAATCATCTTCCATCGCCGGCTCAACGAGAACCCATTGTGGTCTCTCGTTTCGATAGCATACGCTGGTTATACTCTGGGCTGGGCTGAAAATGAGAGATGAATTGTACACTTGGAGCGGGCTGCTCTCGACTGCTCGCCTGTGATATCGAATAAATCGATAACCATCTAGAACACGCTTCGAAACTGCTTGTGACTTGCCTATCTTCTATAATATCGTTTAGTAGTTAGAAACGAAAACATTCTATGATTGAAGTAACCTCTAACCTTAAGAAAGCTATCAAGTTTTACCATCGCCGCGATCCCTTCTGAGATGCCTCTAAGAAGACTGATGGCTTCGACCCAGTGGAGAAATTTCTGAAACAGAAATTTCTCAACTGACCCACCCTCCTCGAGATCATTATTCGCCTTAATATCGGACTCTTGAAGGTGATTCACCCAAAAGAAACATGAGTATTGTGCTGCTGCTAATGGGTCTGGATCGAGTGGCCTTACTTGATCGAGAGGGGACCCAGGAGAGCTGAGGTTATATATATTGCGCCGAAGCGTTGCAAACATGACGTTTAGAGACCGTGAAAAAATGGCCAGGTGTTGGTCTTTCATCCCAGATACGAAAAAGTAGGTTGGAGCCATTTCCATCAAGAATTCTTTCGCAGACTGATGAATAAAGAAGATAGTGCGTTTGCGGAGTGTGAGAAACGAGCCACAAAGCGCTATGATCTCCGATAGGACCTCATAGTCATTAGAGACACCGTAAGGCATATCGACAAAAGCTATCAATTCGTCCAATGTGATGGGTCGATACACAGTTAAAACAACAGCTAGGACGCGTTGGCAGAGGTCGGCATCCTCAGCGGTAAAAATCTGCTCCAACATCCGTTTATATAAATCAGTAAGTCCGGACGGCAACGTATTTAGCTTTGAGAGAGTGTTCCACCGTGATGTTTTAGCAAGCTCCTGTGAGACCAAGGCCACCCAGAGGAAGGTGCCGTTTGCATTTTCAGACAAGTGTTTTTGGATAGCTTTTTGTGTGTTAGGATCATACTTTTTTAGCTTCACCAACTGACATACTTTATGCTTAATATATATTTCAACAGCAGTAGAGACCGACTTAGCATTCAACTCAAGCGATAATTGCCCGGCAGTATCTAGTCGCTCTTGAACACTAGACGGCCAGTTGCGACTAGTAACGAGCCATTTAACACGGGGATATGAACGCCATTTTTGTACAATTTTAAGGAGCTCTAGCAGATTGTCCTGGCACTCGTCAAGGCCATCAATGACCAGGATAGTGCTCTTCAAACTGTGGTCTTTCAGGATATCAATAAAAATCCTAGACACAGCGAACCAAGAGTTTGTGTATTCATACAAATCATACTTCTTCCGTATGTGTGATATGAGTGATGGCTGCTGGTCGACAAGCTGGCGGATAAGGCTGCGCAGGACAGCGGTGGCATTGTTGATCCGTGAGTCGGTGGCTTGGCAGAAGAAGAACGACAAAAGCTTTGATTTACCAATTGACTCCTTCAGCTCGTCAACGATACCACAGACCAGCATCGTCTTACCCTTTCCGGGATCCCCCCGGACCCAAAGAAGCCGATTTTGCTGATCATCACGCCATTTTTGGAGTTCGGGATTCTCGAGGATCCAGCTATATACATCTTTCAGTAGATCGCCCTTGGTCTGCTGGATTCGCGTCTTTTCATCTTCAGGATCAGTTGCCCACAAGTCTTTGAGACACTGGCGGTCCCTGTCATCTATAATATATGGAGTGCTTAGGAATCTTAGTCGTGCTCTATAAACAAAGCTGGACCAGTAACTGAATACCTTAGATCTGATTCCCATCTGATCAATTCTCCAAGCAGACGCTTAAATCCATTATCGTCAGCAGAGCTGAACTTGACCATGTCGCTATGATTGGCGTGGATGCTGATCGAGTTGTAACCTTCAAGAGTTGCTGACTCCTTGGAAACAACCTTACCAGCCACAGGCAGAGGCAACTCTTCAAAGAAGCATGTGACATCAAGACGCCTGCCACTCTCTCGTAGTTCTCGAATCATTGATCAGAAGTCAACCTGGATAGCTTCAAGGAGCTGATCATCCGTTTCCAAAATTTTCAACAGTGACTTGTTGGTGGACTTCACAAGGCCAAAAGCCCCAGCCGGAATCTTTGCCCAGTCCGCCATCCAGGATCCCTTATGAGGGGTGCCCATGAAGATGATACCTTTGGTGCAATCAAATATGCCACGAAGGTGAGTTTCAGGGTTATTTCGTGAGAGCAGAATGGCTTTCTTGCAAACGAGGCCGCCCAAGCTATGGGCGATGAAAATAAGGGCACGAGATGAGGCGTTATGACAGGCTCTGTCTGTTGTCAAATCATTGAGAAGATTTTTGGCATGATCAATTAGCCGGTTTGATCCAGTAACCGATTTTCGCACTAGGTAGGCGTCGTAGCCATAAGTAACTATTCGAGCTCTGCCGAACTCCGGTGGAAGGAGTATCTTTGGCCAGGGCGTGGACTGCCCATGGGCAGTCCAAGTATTGTCTCGATTCCCAGTCAAGCCGTGAATGAGACAAACGTCAACCGTGGCGTCAAGACACTCATGCAATACTTCGACACCATCTGGGAAAGAAAATGGTGTGGGAGAGTGCTTGGCAGACTGCTGAACCTGATCCGTTTGATTGTTTTCCGTATCAGAGGAAGTCTCAGGCTTCGTCTGTCTTTTTCTAAAGACCCTTGTAAGGTTGTTCATCGTAAGTCACTTGCAGGACCGTAAAGGAGGGAACTTCGTAGGATAGGGGGATTGCTGATGGAGGTCACAAGTCGAAGCCTGACCTTCGAAGCTGAGATGTAACGATGTCTTTAGAAAAATTGCCAGATTATGTTGCTACAGTGGGCTAAGTCTCATCACGTCCGAAACCCTGAGCGACTTAGGTTGTGTGAAGGCGGGGTTGAGCTGAAGCGAGCTCGCAGGTGCGCAGAAGTGACCTGTCCAATCCCTGCTGGCTCTGCTTTATTTCACTTCGCTGGGATTACTGGAAGCCCGGTTAAAAGTGTCACTTAATCGTAGTGTCCATTATGTGTAGTCCCTGGCCTTTTGTCAACCTTCTTCTGCCATTGTGCCTTTGGCTTGATTGATTGATTGATTTATTCATAGACTCAGAGTTGAATCCCCATCACGTGACATATATATGTATGACTAAGCTGATGCTGTTGGCCGTTACGGTTAGCGATCCCACTAGATCACGTGACCCACCACTATATTATGTTCTTGTAGATAGCTATCAATACAACCTTCAACTATTCTACAGGTTATAGCCCGGATGGCACATTTTTCTTTTTGAAACATTGCACCAACATTTTTGACACAGATAGTTCATCTTTTTTAGAAAAACTCTCACTCTTTATTAGAGATATTTCATTTTTTCTGAATCTGCTAGTCAGCAGATTCATATACTTTATATTTTTGAGAAAGTATATTCTTCATTGTGAAGAATATCACTTTTTTTTTATATATCTAGAAGAAGCAGAGTCATCTCAATATAAGTGATATATCTGTTACTTCAGAGTTCAGCTTAAGATTCAGAATCACACACTTTACTAGATAACTTATTAATAGAATAATCACTTATTATAAGAAGACTTCTGACTTATAAGATAAGACTGAGATTAGTTTTCATCAGAGTATGAAATTTAATAATCAGATAATGAAGAAACTTCAGAATAAAGAAAAGCAGAGTTAATATTTATCTACAGAATCTGTTTATTTCAACTCATTGAATTCTTCACTATTTTTTATTCTCAGAATACTGATTTTTAATGATGATTTAAATTAATCTATCTATTACACTGCAGACAATCTTATGAATCTTATATAAATAATACTATGAAATTAAATGACTGCAGTTGAAATCACTTAATATCTTACTATATCTATCTCTGTACAAAGAGACACTATAAGAAATGAGTTATAAGAATATCAGAAAAAAGTTAAATATATATTAAATATTAAATCAGTGATCACATTTAATAACTTTAATTATAAAGTCTGATATATTGATATATTAACTGATACAGAAGTTATTAATGAAACTGATATTCTATTGAGAACTTAATAAGAATTCTCTTTTATATATTATATTAACTCTGAGAAGTGAAGAATCTGTTTTAAGTCTCTATATAGATATATACTATTGAGTCTTATTAAAAATGTTTAAATTACTATTAAAATCTTGAAAGCTGATAATACTGTAGCTCTGTGAGATAAGATTAATATTGAATATATAATATCACTGACTGAAAAATAAGTTAATATCTTTAAGAAATTGATAAAATTATAAGTTAAGAAGAATGATTATCTTACTTTTCAGAGATATTTTCACTATTTTATTATCTATTATAAGAAGCTTTGTCAGAGCACTGAGAATGTATATTATAATCTTTTTCTCAACAATCTATAAGATTATCAGAGACTGTTTATTAAGATATATTTGAATAAGTTTTTCTTCACTGATCAGAGACTCATTGTCAATATTAATACTAATAATTTAATAAAGTAACTGATTAATTATACATTTAAGAAGATCATCACTGAGTGAAAAAAGCAGTCTTAGACTGATTCTGTGACTGTGAAAAAGAATAAGAATAAAGATAAGAATAAAAGCATATCTGTATAAAAGTGTACTCACTGCAGAAGATATAAATATACTGTTAATAAATGTTTTATCCTACACTCTGATAAAAAGAAAAAGAAGATAGATAAGAAGAATGATAATAAGAAGAAAGAGAAGAAGAATGACTTGATAAGTTCTCAATCAGTAGTAAATATAGTAATTATAAAGATTGAGTTCTATTTCTCTTTCACAGTCACTGAAAAATCATTGTCTAGATCTTGATATTTGAATATATATATAAGTCTGAATATGATGAATAAGCTTCATTCTTTTTCAAATATTAAATCTTTTAATGATAACATCTCTGTTGATTCTGTCACTGAGAGAACTGAGTTTATCAAGAAGATTGAAACTGTCATCTTGAAGATTGAGAGTGATAATATTAACTTACAGAATGTTCACTATATTTCTAATATTACAGTTAATCTGCTCTCATTTACAAAGCTTAAAGATCAGGGATTTCAATTTATATTATCTTTCACTATTCTCTCATTTTTCATTTACAGAGCTCTGAACAGTGTTATTTTTCATGCAGTTCAGACTGTTCAGAACAATATATATAAGATTAATAAATAGAAGTTCAATGAGAATTTCAATTATCTGAACAAGGTAGTTAAGTATATTGTGATAATGTCTCATAAGTATAATTTTAACTGAAAAGTTGATCTTTCTGTGACTGCTGTTATTACTGTTAATAACATCAATTATACAGATGTGAAAACACAGATATTAAAGATATCAAAGACTCTTTTGAATTAATATTATAATCTCAGTCACATTCATACTGATGCTATAATTACTATAGTCAAGAATTCTCATACTGAGGTCACTATTAAAGATTCTAAGACTAAGTTCTTTTATAAAGAATATGTTAAGATAGATATAATATGAGATTATTTGAAAACACTGATGTCTAGATCTATTCAATCTATTGAGAAGATTTATATTGATTTTATAGATGATAAATATACATTGAAAGATCTCTCTGACTATCTCTTAAAGTTCTGTCAGAGAATTAAATACTGAATACTTATCATCTGTGATGTGACTTACTACTGTTGAGTATATTTTTTAAAGTTCAAGAATGAGACTGTTCAATACTTTGAGTTATGACTCAGATTCATAAGTAATCTCAGATATACAGTTCCTGCTTTTCTATAAACTGATATTGATGATGTTTTTCAATTCACATGTATACACACAGTCATGAATTCATATAATACTAAATGAGAATCAATAGCATTACATTTATCACATTAGAATGATATTTCTGAATATGAGATCTACACTATTATAAAATGAGTTAGAGCTGCTCTTTTAAAAGATAATTTCTCTGAGAAGTTCTGAGCAGATGTTCTAGAGATAGTGATTGTAATAATTAATAATACTCTCATATCTACAGTTCTTTATAACTTGAAATTTTAGTTCTCTACTGCAGAGACTTCTGTAATTCCAAGTTCATATAAGATTTCTTAATATGCACTTATGAATATCTCACTGAATATGAGGCATTTTTACTGATTAAGTGCAGAGATTTTTATTCACTTGTATAAATTTCAGAGACTCATGAACAAGCTCTCTTCATATGCTGATTTCTATTGTATCATTAAATTCAGTGATATATTAATATATTATCTATAGCATTCTGAATCTGATAAGATTATTGTCAGTAGTAATATGAGGTTTCTGATTACTGAAAAATTGAAATTAGTTATCATATCTGTGACACTCATTAATAATGCTGATGAACTGAAATCTGATATTTATCTGATTGATAATAAAGATGCTTCTGATATTGATAATCTAAATTTCATATAATTGCAGCCTATGAAATCACTGACTACTTACACTTCAAACTCTGTTACAGATAATCTTCTGAAGTTCTACAAGAATATCACATCTTAGTTAGAGAGAATAGAAGATTATTAAAAGAAGTTTATATAACATGAGATTACTGATCTGAAGAGATATAATATATAAAGTTTAATCTCTAGATCTGATGTTCTGAGAAGTGAACTGATTACTTCATACTATTAAATGTTTCTTGAGAAAGATAGATCTGTGAATCTGAATAATGATTCTGATAATATTCTTAGAAAATTGTATTAAGTGATTTATAATAACTGACTTAAGAAGAATTCTAGAGAAGAGATCTATACTTCTGTTATCACTGATACTGTCAATTGTATTCTTTTTATAATAGCAGTACTACACAGTTGAATACTCTATTAAGTGAATATAGTGATAATATATCTGCATGAGTGCCTCACTAAGAAGATTTATATAAGATAATTCACTGAATTTGAGACAGATTCACTGAAAACATTTATCTATATAATTGAGAGTAGTTTATACAGTCTGAACTCTGCAGTGAAGATCTGATATAATTACTTAACAGCTCTGTTAAGTAATCTTGAATTTACAGTCAGTATCTATGATCTGATACTTTAATATTATACATTCAGATGTCATCTCTATATGATGATCTATGTTAATGATCTTAACATTATATTCAAAGTTTCTGAGAATGCTGATTAACTAGTGAGTATACTCAGTGAGAAATTGAAAGTTAAGAATCTACATCAATTAATTAAGTATTTAAGTATAGAGATTAATTGTTTAGACAAGAGAATTAATTTAATATATTATCAATATATTAAATATCTTATTAAAGATTTCTATCTTGATAATACAGCTGTTATTAGAATATCAATGAAGAATGAATTCTGTATTAATAATTTCTCTATATCTAAGAAAGAGACTGATTTCATAATTCAGTGATATTAATATAATATGAGTTGCTTGTAATATCTTGCAGTTAAAATATATTCTGATATCACTTATACTATCTTACTACTTACTCAATGAAATGTTGATTTAACATCTTAATATTAAAAGACTCTATTACATGTTATATATTATTTGAAAGAATCATGAATCTGAGTATTTTCTACAGATGCAGTCTGTATAAGAGATCTGTTTCTACTGATCTTTTCATTCTCTCTGATTTTTCTGATGATTTCTATCTACTCTTCAGCTACTCAGATTCTGATTGAGCTGACTTCTTGAATAATAATAG